AGGCAGTATCACTACAGAAGTAGATTGCCCAACCTTCCTTCAATATATACCTAGAAAAAAATGGAAAGATACTCTCCAAAATGTTCTCTCTATGTTTTGGAATTGTGAATAATTTTTAAAGTTTTTGTTTGTTTGTTTGTTTTCCTAAATTTCCTACAATGGGAATATATTTTTAAGTGAGAAAAAAAAATTAAGTGAAAAATATATTGGGCCGAAAGTGGTTTAGTAACTTAGCTGTTCTGCTAAGGTTTTCTGGCAGAAGCCTGTTGTCAAAGAGGGAAAAATTGTCTTGATTTTTCTCTTGAAATTGACTCTTGATTAATTCAACAGAGGGATAATTTATTGCCTTTGGGTGGGGAAGGTATACTACTTTGAATCAGTACTCTCTACTTTCTTACTGAACAGCAACCCTGAGAAATTAAGTTGACTTTGACGATGTATACAAAACACATCTAAAGTCATTTTGGTCTCAGTAACTTTTCTCTTGGATTCTCTGGGGTTGGGAAGATAGCTGCTTTAAGAAAAGTTAGTCATTGACCAATATAAAGTTAGTCCTTGACTGACTACAATTTTAGATAACCTAAAGCTTTCTTAGGAGCCTCTGTGACAAAGAGGGTTAAGTGTTGGACTACTAGCCAAAAGGTTAGTGGTTCAGACCTATCCAGAGGCACCATGAAAGTATGAAAGTAATATCTGGTGATCTGCTTCTGAAAGGTCACAGTCTCTAAAACCTTTTGGAGCAATTGTGTTCTGTACACAGAATCAACTCAGTGGCAACTAACAAGGGAAGTTTTGTCATACAACTGATACTGATCCCTGTTACCATATTTATATTTATTATGTTAACTTTGTATTCTGTAATAGTAATTGTATTCTGTAATTGCCAGCCTTTACTTTGAAAAATTTACCTGTCCCTGGGAGGAAAGATATTTCAGCCCCATCACAGTTATGAAAAATAACCTAAGCCTGATGTGAGAATCCATTTGCGTTTAGACGTGTAATATTTTCTTATTCTTGGTCTTCAGGTAACCCTTTTCAAACCTGATTGTTTTTGTAGGATTTGGAAAAGGAAAGTGACACACCCCTCCAGCAAGTGTCTATTGAAGAAATCCTAGAAGAGCAAAGGGTGGAACAACAGACCAAACTGGAAGCAGAGAAGCTGAAAGTTCAGGCTCTTAAGGATCGAGGTCTCTCCATTCCTCGAGCAGATACTCTGGATGAGTATTAAGTCTTTTGCTTAAAGGCAATTGCTTTTGGGGAGCAGGAGCTGTCACTGAAATGAAAGTGACATCCTGGTCACCTTTGATGAGAGACTGTAAAATTTTGAAAAGTCATTTTTATTTTGAATTATTTCATTTATGCAATATGAAGAACTCATGTAGCTTCTTTTTTTTTTTAAAGTAACAAAATCATTGTCTAAGGAAAGAGTGCCATGAACTCCTTTCTCACATCACTGCAGAGCCGCCAACTCCTCCTTTATATTGCTTTCCTTATCCCAAATTAGACTTTATAAGGGACATTCTTCACTTACTTGTAAATAAAATATGAAATCTCAAAACTGTCAATATTATTCCTCAAGTTTGAATTATCTCCAATGAGTAGATAAAATTAAGATTCTGCTCTCAAAGGTATAAGCAGTCCACACTGGGAATCCCCCTTCTGTCACTATTTCAAGTTGGTATTTACTTATAAAGAAATATTTTCATACTAAATACCTTGGGGGTCTTCCCCTTTCCCCTTTTCACATTTATATCTGATAAGAAATACAAATGTTCAAGCTTAAGGAAAGAGCTTTCAGGTAAGCTTTCCAGTAATTGATTGTAACAGGAGCCTTATGTTTGAGAAAGGAGTTCTGGTGGTGAAGTGGTTAAGGCATTTGGCTGCTAACCAGAAGGTCATTGGTTAAACCCACCAGCTGCTCCACAGGAGAAAGATAAGGCAATCTGCTTCCATAAAGATTACGGCCTTGGAAACCCAATGGGGGTTACTATGAGTCAGAATCGGCTCAATGGCATTGAGTTTGGAGTTTTTTTAAGAATTTGTGTTTGAGAAGGAGACCAGGTGTTTCAGTAGAATTCTCAGCTTTGTGAGAAACTTGGGTTCAGTTCCTGGCCTATGCACCTGGTCTGTCTAATGAGACTTGTGTGTTACTGTGATGCTGAGCAGGTTTCAGCCAAGCTTCCAGACCAAGACAGATTAGGAAAAAAAGACGTAATGACCTACTTTAGAAAATCAGAAGTGGAAACTATGGGTCACAACAATCCAGTCCTGTGCGTAGAGTCACCATGAGTTGGGGGCCGACCTGATGGCCGCTAACAGCAACAACAACAGCATTTGGGAAGCAACACTGGTTCTTGCTGTCTCCTTCACAAATAGGTATTCTAAACTAAGTTGCCATGAAAGCTAACATTTTCCTAAGGTGGCCTTTTCTCTAAATCCACTATTTATTTGATTTTCTTAACCTTTTGCTTGACTCTTAAGCCTCTTGTGCTATGATCATGACAAAGGAGCATATAAAATGGTGTTTCAGTGACTGATACATCCAGTCTTTTCTAAATCCTGGCCAAGAACCCATAGGGATGCCACTTTTTTAGTGTGATTATAGAACAGCAACAACTGTATAGCAAGTGTAACAAACTACTTTAAGAAAGTACTTTGAGGAAGAGAAAGAGAGAGGTACATGGGAGATACAACAGAGATGAACCCTTTTGCACATACAGTACTGTGTTGTCACTGAAGGCAAACATGGGTATACGGGTGGATGGATGGGTGGACAAGGCTGTTAGGTATGTCTATGAAGTGGGGAATGTACCCAAGACCATGTATAGGGTTGGCAGACAATGGTCCTATAAGTGTATTTGTATGATCTGTAAGAATTCCCAGGTGTATAGTAGAACTGACAAGGGACAATGTTGTAGTCACTTCTTGGTCACAGCCAGCTACCCAGAGGGACCGAGTTGTTGAACCTGTGGGCTCAGGACCATCGTCTTGGACATCAAGTTCAATTGGCATAATGTACTACACAAAACATTGTTCCACCTCCTACTTTGGCAAGTAGCGACTGAGATCTTAAAAGCTTGCAAACAGCCATCTAGATGCAACGATGGGTATCTCCTCATCCAGAGCAAAGAAGAAAAAAGAAAACCAAAGATTCATGGAAACAGTCAGTCCTAATGACTGGTATACCATGCGAGCCACAGCCTGTACAACTATGAGACCAGAAGAACTACATGATGCCCAGCTACGTAGGAGATCCTGAATAGAGAGGGAGAACTGTGTGGAACAAAACTCAAAATCATTTGGGAAAAAAAAGGAAAGGGGGAATCAGGTTTGCTGGTCTGAGAGAGCCTGGTAGAACCCCTGAGACTGTGGTCCCTAGCTGCCCTTCAGGTTTGGAATTGAACTCACAACTATGGCTTCCAGCCAAACAAAAGACAGGCATATGAGTTGAACATTGACCTAAGGTAGATACACTCCTTGGAGAGAACAATCATGGGAGAAAGAAGGGCTGTTAGTGCACAGGGAGACAACTCAGGGAACAGGAGTGTACGGAAGGATGGACACAGGGAAGAGGTAACTATCGGGAGGAAGGGGGAGGGGAGCTGTTGCATCGGGTTAAGTTGTAGTCAGTGTCATGACACAAAGTGTATGTGAATTGCTGTATGGAAAGTGAATTTGCTCTATAAATTTTCACCTAAATCACAAAAGATACCGTCCAAAAAAAGAATCTTTTAGGAATGAAAAAAAAAGTACTGTGGGTTAGTGGACTGACCTAGGAATTAAGAATAGGTTAAAATCTGACTTTGCTCCCTCTAGCACATTGACTTAATCAAGTTAGTCATTTTCTTTGATTTGTCAGTTCTTTTCAGCTATAGAATTGCTGTGCACCATGTTTCTTTTTAATAGTCTGTTAGGCAAAAATATCCTTTTCATAAGATATTTATATCTAGTTCGTATGCATGAATTAAGGTCGCTAGGTGGTACAAATAGTTTACACAGCTGCTGAACTAAACAGTGAAGATTTGAACCCACCCAGCAACACTGCAGAAGAAAGTCTTGGTGATCCACTTTTGTAAAGATTGCAGCCAAAACCTTATGGAGCAATTCTCTGAAATTGAATCATAATTGATGGCAATAGATTTGGTGGTTTGGTTTGATGCATTAATTATTTAATATGCTTAACATTTTACAAGTTCAAGTGTTTTTAAAATTGCCCAAAATGCATATAAACCATATGAGTTCTGAACTATCCTTTATTGGGTTGGTTTTAATATAGGTAATTTCTGAAGAAACAGTTGCACTTCATTTATCTACTGTGTTGCCTGTAGTCTTACTGTTTAATAGTCACAATTTGTTGCTGTTATTAGGTGCCATTGAATCAGTTCCAACTCATAGCAGCCCTTTGTATAACAGAACAAAACGTTACCCAGTCCTGGGCCATCCTCACGATCGTTGCTGTACTTGAGCCCATCATTGTAGCTACTGTGTCAATCTCATTGAGGCTCTTAGTTATCTTTTTTGCTGACCCTCTACCAAGCATGATGTCCTTCTTCAGGGACATATCCAAAGTAAACAAGACCAAGTCTTTACCATCCTCACTTCTAAGGAGCATTCTTGCTGTACTTCCATAAAAGGCAAAAAATAAAACATCACCAGCTTCTGAAAAACATGTCCAGCTTTATCTGACTACATTAAGGTACTCTTCAAGGGTCAGCAGGAAAACAGTTTTTGTTTTTGTAGGTACCACTGCTTCAGAACCTCTCACTTTAAAAATATTTGGATTTACTATAGTTTCCTCATTAAAAAGACCAGAAAGAAAGACCAAAATGAATGTCAGAAGAGACTCTGAAAATAGAGTAGTTAAAGCAAAAGAAAGAAATGATGAAGTAAAAGAGCACAGATTTCAAAGGGAACCTCCAGAAGACAAAATATCATAATGAAATGTGCAAAAAAGATCTGTACTTAGAAAACCAAAAGGAAAGAACAGCTTGGCATTTGTCAAGTTGAAAGAACTGAAGGAAAAAATCAAGCCTCTAGTTCCAATATTGAAGGATTCTGTGGGCAAAATACTGAATGATGCAGGAATCATCAAAAGAAAATGGAAGGAATATACAGAGTCGCTGTATCAAAAAGAATTGGTTGATGTTCATCCATTTCAGGAGATGGCATATGATCAAGAACCAATGGTATTGAAGGAAGAAGTCAAGACTGCGCTAAAGGAATTGGCAAAAAACAGGGCTCCAAGAATTGACAGAATACCCATTGAGATGTTTCAACAAACAGATGCTGCACTGGAGGCATTCACTCGACTATGCCAAGATACTTGGAAGACAGCTACCTGGCCAACTAACTGGAAGAAATCCATATTTGTGCTCATTCCAAAGAAAGGTGATCCCACAGAGTGTGAGGGTTATCAAACAATATCATTAATATCACATGCAAGTAAAATCTTACTGTAGATAATTCAAAAACAGCTGCAGCAGATATTGACACAGAACTTCCAGAAATGCAAGCTGGATTCAGAAGAGGACGTGGAACAAGGGTATCCTTGCTGATGTTAGATGAATCTTGGCTGAAAGCAAAGAATACCAGAAAGATGTTTACTTGTGTTTTATTGACTATGCGAAAGCATTCAATTGTGTGGATCATAACAAGTTATGGATAACATTGAGAAGCATGGAAAGTCCAGAACACTTAATTGTACTCATGAGGAACCTCTACATAGATCAGGAGGTTGTTGTTCAAACAGAACAAGGGGATACTGCGTGGTTTAAAATCAGGAAGGGAGTCCATTACTGTTGTATCCTTTCATCATACTCAATTTGTATACTAAGCAAATAATCCAAGAAGCTGGCCTATAGGAAGAAGAACATGGCATCAGGATTGAAGGAAGACTCATTAACAAACTGTGATACGCAGATGAAACAACTTTCCTTGCTGAAAGTGAGGATGACTTGAAGCACTTACTGATGAAGATTGAAGACTACAGTCTGCAGTATGGATTACATCTCAATATAAAGAAAACAAGAGTCCTCACAACTGGACCAATAAGCAGCATCATGATAAATGGAGAAAAGATTGAAGTTGTCAAGGACTTCATACTACTTGATTATACAATCAACACCGATGGAAACAACAATCAAGACATCAGATGACATATTGCATTTGGCAAATCTGCTGCAAAAGACCTCTTTCAAGTGATGAAGAACAGAGATGTTTCCTTGAAGACTAAGGTGCGCCTAACCCAAGCCATGGTATTTTCAATTGCCTCTTATGCATGGGAGAGCTGAACAATGAATAAGGAAGACTGAAGAAGAGTTCATGCAGTTAAGTTGTGGTGCTGGCAAAGAATGCTGTAGGTACCATGGACTGCTGAAAGAACTAGCAAATCTATCCTGGAAAAAGTGCAGCTGGAATACTCCTTGGAAAAGAGAATGGCCAGACTTCATCTCACCTACTTTGGTTGTGTTGTCAGAAGGGACCATTCCCTGGAGAATATGCTTGGTAAAGTGGAGGGTCAATAAAAAAAAAAGAGGAGACCTTCAACAAGAAGGATTG